CCCCTAAATCATCATAATCAATTTTCTTAATTAGTTTGGCCTGATCTAACCCTTTTCAGTAAGTAAAACCAAGCTAAGCTAAGCCTAATCGGACTTGATTACTAAGTAAAAGATTACCTGGTTTTATTAAGAATTTGACCTCTCCGCGGATCGAACCCTTAACCAGGTTGATTGTGGGTAAAACTGTAAGGAAGAAATAATAGGATTTATTCAAAATAATAGCCAGTCAGCCAACATTACCCACAATCCCTGATTCAGGCCTGAATCAGGCTATTATGGACCCATTGACCCTAATTAAGTAATTGACTGCCTGAGGCAGGCTTGTAAGATCACCTGATCCTTACAATTAGTTTACTTAGGCTAGCTAGAGATTTAAATATTTAATAATAATTATATTTAAATAATTAATATAAATGATAAAAAAGACTTTATATATAATTTAAATTATATATCTCAATTTTTAAAGAGTCTAAATAAAATAAGAAACTTTTAATTTAATTAATTTATAAAGTATTTCAGTAGATATAAAAGCTTAATTCAAAGATATATTTAAATATATAAATATTTTAAAAATAATTTAAATATATCTTTATATTTATAATTATTAGAAGGATTATTGTGCTATATTCTTCATAATATAAATCTAGATCTAAATAAATTTCTTTAAATAAAATAAAATAAATAAATTTCCTAGTATTATTAAATTTATTTTGAAATAGCTAATAAATATAGAATTCTTGAAATATTAGAATAATAATTTATATTTTAGCAATACAGTTTTGATAAGATTTATATATATAGAAGTATATAATCCAGAAGTAATGAAATATATTAAAATAATTTATTTTCTAGAGAATTATATCTTACATTTTTATAATACTAATATCTTAATAATACAATAACTTATATAATCATATAATTAATTAGTAAAATCTAGTTAATAGTCTAATTATATAAAATCTTAACAAACTTAAACTTATATTTAAGAATAATCTTTCTTTTAATATTCAATAAATTCAAAATATTAATATTATTTAAGTAGAAAAATAAGAAAGAATCTAAGAAAAGCTTTAAAAAACTTTAATTTAATATTTATATTTTTAAATTTTCTAAAAAGTGATAAGGGATTATTTAAATAATAGTTTAATATCTTAAAAATAATTATAATATTATTTATATATATTTTTAAAAAGATTTCTTAAATTTCTAAAGAGTTGAATCTATTTAAATAATATATATAAAATATGAAATTAATAAATTCTTTAATAATAATATAGAAGAATTTCTATTCTTTACATATAATAACTATAAATTAATTTTAGTAAATTAAAAATATTAGTTATTAATAAAAAATAAATAATATCTATTATAATAATATAAAAATAATTTTTTATCATATAAAAAACATCTGTCTATATAAAAATTAGATAAAGATTTAGCTTAGTTTTATAATTAATAATTTTTAAATTAAAAATGAAATATTTTTTCACTTCATTATTTATTTATCTTTAGATAATAAATACTACATATGCAGATAGTATATATATTTTAATATAAAATAATTTATTTAATAATATATAAGAAATTAAAAATTAAATTAATAATAATTCTTCTATATTCATAAAATCAATAAATTTAAATTTTATATTTAATTATATAATCTTATTATATATACTTTAATAATATATATATCTACTAGTTCTTTAGAATATAGATAGTTCTGATATTAAAAATAAAAAATAAAATCTAAATATTATAGAATATAATAAATCTTATAAGAACCTCTTAATTACCATTTTAATAAATAAATATATTACTAAAAATACTAGTATTTTCTTTTTATAAATCTTATACTTTATCTTTATAACAGTATTCAGTATTTCTAAATATTTCTACTATTTTATACCATTTTTAATAGAATATTTAATTGAAAATTCTATTCTAGAAACTCTTTTAAAGAAATTATTATTTCTCTATATTTTTACTAAATAACTTTATCTTGCATATACTAACTGTAATAATTAATAATATATTATAATTTTTAAATATATATTTTATATATCATTAAGAAATAATATAGTTTTTGTATTATTTTCTATTATTTTTATTATTTTTATATTAAGAATATATTACTCTATATTTTATAATATATCTTTTTATATAATTACTAGTCTATAATATTAATAGATTAATTTATTTTATTTATCTAGATTATAGATTATTAAATTTATTAATTTTTATTTTTATTATTAAATCTTAGCTCTAGTTATCTAATTAGTTAAGTAAATTTATATATAATAATATATTTTTTTTTAATAATACTAAGAAATTATTTAGTTTTTATTTTAATATTAATTTTTTTATTTTATTATCTTAATTCTTATTTATTCTAAATTTCTAAATTATCTATTTTTATATTATATATTATATATTATTTTTTATTATTATTAGTTTTTTAATAATATCTTTATATTAGAATTACTATACTAGTTAATATATATTTATATAAATATTTTAAATTAGCTTAAATATTAAACTAATAGTAATATTCTTTTAAATATATTATTTTATATTTAAAATATTTTTTTATTATTATATAAATATATATTACCTGAAATCTTAGATATTACTAAATTAAATATATAATATATAATTAATATTTTTAACTATAAACTAATTATTTAATAAATAATAAATTATTTAGATTATAAATATAAAATTTTTTTAAGTAATATTTTTTAAATAACTTTATTAAAAATTAGATTTTATTAATTTAAGTTTTAATTTATATTCTAGATATTTTTTATATTAATAATACTAAGTTATTCTAATATATTTTTATAAAGTTATTATATAGTTCTATAATTAAATATTTATATATTAAAAAATAATATTTAAAATATAATTCTCTATAGATTAAAAAATTTAGAATTAAGTTAATTATTTTAGAATATTTATATATTTCTAAGTTAATTAATTTTATTATTAATTTTAACTATTTATATTTATTATTTTTATATTTATTATATTTTTATCTGATATTTAGAAAAATATTAGATTTAGAAATATATTTAAGAATAAACTTAATCTAAATCTCTAAAATATTAATTATATATAATAAAAACTTGTTTTTTTAGTTATTAAAAATATTTTTATAAATAAGAATTTTAAATTAAATTAATTAGTCTAATCTTTTAAATTAAGAATATATATATTAATATTATTATTTAAAAATAATTTATTTATAATTATAATAATAACTAGAAATTTAATTATAATTTTTTATTAATAATAATATAGTATTTATTATAATTTTAGATTAATTTAATAAAATAAATATAAATATATATAATATAAATTTATAATTATATTAATTCTAAAAAATTAAATTTAT